CCCGATGATAATAGTGATGGAGGTGACGGCCCATTATGAGAAGCAGGATGTAGAGAACACTCTCATCGTCTATTCCCAACGAGCATCGTCGAAGACCGCAACCTAACGATTATATATGTGCGCGATCTATTCCGATTGTAACGAAGTTCCCCCAAGCATAATCGTTCCCTCGGATGATGATTCTCCACATTGCGTGTCTTGACGTTCGTAAGTGTCGCTAGATTGTTTAGTCAGTAGAGCTCTCGAGTTATCATACACTATCTGTTACATCATTGCCAAGGAGAACAACTTTCAAGTGCGGCCGGCACCTTTCAGAGCTACGTTTTCAGTTATAGGAACTATAGGACTAGGAACGATTACAAGAACTACGTCGTAGTGTGCGAAGGGCGATCACACTCGTTATGGAGTTACTTGTAACTCCATTCATAGTGTCCGATTTTACTGTCTCCAATATGGACCCGGCAACGAAGAGTTTTTTCGTGGCACGTCGAAAAGAGGACCCCGAGAATGCTGTCTGTTGTGACTGCGGTGCTGCCAACCCACAGTGGGCAAGCGTCCCTTATGGGATCTACTTCTGTCTAGTCTGTTCTGGTAATACCGAAGCGATACAATGTTATGACGGTACGAGAAGATGTGAGCGATTTGTGGTATTCAGGGAAGCACCGATCTCTGGGGGTACACCTTAGTTTTGTGCGCTCGACCACGATGGATAGCTGGAACCCCAAACAGTTGAAGAAAATGGAGCTCGGTGGCAACAGCAAGTTTAACAAATTCTGTCGAGAGATGGTAACATAAGTGAAACCATGACCCGACTCATCATGTGTGTTAGGGAATCGACAAGATGTCGATCTCGGAAAAGTATAATACTAAGGCGGCGGAGTACTATAGGAACTACATTCAAGCTTTGGCTGACGGTACCGCGCCGCCTGAGAGGCCCTCGGTAGCTGACGGGAAGATGCCGGCATGTAATGGTGTTAGAGTCGCATGGTCGTACATGAAGTGATATGTGTTAGATCCTCCTCCTGCTTCGTCGACTAGTGGTAGTCAACGAAGCGCGTCTCCTCCACCAGGGTCAGGTTTTGACTCGTCCAATGGGTATAGCAACGGGTTCAATACGCAGCGACAGCCTGGCCGGAATACCATGACGGGCTTTGGAAGTGAGATGTCTGGTATGAGGAATCAGGGAAGCTCTGATCGATACAGCTCGGCAGGGTTCCAGCAAGGAGGAGGTGAGGTGCATGCTCTGTCGTGGTCTAGGGAGTCCGGTTGACTGTAATAGGACCGAGCCAGGGAGACTACTGGCACCAAGAGGGTCAGGAGGATAACGATCCTTTGGGGAACATGAT